TGCATTTAGCGAATCTCAAGCATGGCAGATATTTTGTTGTTGAAATAAGACTCGTTTTACACCCTGAAACACCCGAGTCATCGCGATCATTATCCGAGTGGGTTTATTATTATGTGATGACAATATTTACGCTATTCCATCTCAGATTCATTAGATCATGTCAGAATAGTCAGAATCTTTATGTCTAATAACCAAACTGGCAGGCAATGGCTTCTGGAAGGATTACAGGCGTCGCTTTACCGATGGCATATGCCGTGTGATGTCGCCTTGTAACGGCGGCAAAACCCACGTGTTGGCAAATTTCGTTTAAATGTTGGCGCATTAAACAGCGATCTCTTTTGTAACGATGAACAGCTGAGGGACATCTTCGTATAGAAATAACGACATGCATGGAATAGATAATTTGCATCAGCCTTAATGTGCAGCCAAAGTTTTGATCAATATTACGATTCCGCGCAAATTACTTGTTTTTAAGAGATCTGTCAGTATGTTCATAATAGGATGTATCTGTACACCACTACAATGTGATATGTCCTCTCATTCCGTTCCAGGGAAGACTGATATGACATGGCTGTACATACATTATTCGGCAATAGGGCATATCTTTAATGTTTGGTTGAACCCCATCTTCCTGTGTATCGTAAAAACCGTGGTATCCACGTATGAAACACGGGTCCAACAGTTTACTGGTCAGAAACCCCTCAGAGACACCGAACCGAAGTCAACCATAGAAGTTCTACCATTTTACGAATGGTACCGCTATTTTCGCATAAGGAGACCAATTTTAGCACAGCAGCGCCTTTGTTTATGCATATGACAATGTTACGCCATTCCACGCGTATACGTGCTAAGAAAGCCTCTCATTTCAGTCGTCACGAACGGGGCATCCGAACCGCCGTCTATCACGGCCATAGCTGGTTGGATAATCCAAACACAGCCACACAGCTATGATACAAACCAGCCGTCTTATTTCGCCCTTGCAGGCATGGGTGGTCGGCCAATCAAAATCATAAACAACACAACAAAAAACTCGAAATTACTATTTGGACTGGCGTATTAGTGGTCAAAAGATTCGGCGAGGGCGAACGCCGTTTGCCGTGGGGCGGTGTGGGGTGGAGGAAGTAACACCTTTACGTTATAATGCATATAAGCCAAGGTTCTTACCCGATTGTAAGATGCGGTTATAGACCCTTTTATGCAAGACATTATGATTTGGACGAATATACGTGTATATGGTCTGACAATTTGAACAGACAGACGATCTGAGCTCGCGAGTGTCGATGCTGTTTTGTTTTTGTAACGGGACAACATTGCTTTGTTTTCTTAAATTTGAAATGGTACCCCTGTTGAATTCTGAGCCCATATTCAAATTTTGAGACTCGGAACTACAGGCCTATATCTGCAATGATGGATATAGTTCTCGTGTTAAATCTATCCACAATGTACAGACGATGCAGGGACTGTGCACGACTGCACGTATCCTCTCCGGACACGGAGCTTCCCCAAATTGGGGGGTGGGGGAACATTACGAAATCGGCACCATCTGTTTTGTTTCTCTTTAATTTAAAACAAGCATGGGCGTCGCCAGGAAAAGCAAAAAACAACAAAAACAAACAAACAAAAACAAAAAGGGGGGGGGAGGGAAGAAAAAGGAAAGAAAAAGAGGCGTGAAGTCATATTGCTGTTAATTTAATGGGTTTGGAGGGAATGTCCCTGCCCACCCTCGAAAAGTGATGAATCTAGAATATGCTGGAAAAGTACAGGGATTTCGGGAGGAGGGGGAAATGTGCTTTGCCCCCCTCTAGAAAAAATCCTGGAGACGCCCATGACTAATGTATTCCGGGAGTAGGATAAAGATGCTGTCAGCATGGGTCTCATCGACCGCATCACGAGTCAAAACCCTGTGTTTCATACAAAAAAAGTAGAATCTGGTGGTATACTCTTCAATTTGTTTCTTGGTGTTATAGGCATGGAACTATTACTATTCCCATGCGTATCAGTCCTGTTCTGTACAATCGTTTCTGCTTTTCCCGCTCGTGACCAGACAACTTCAGAAATCCATCTTCTGGAAAACAAACATCCATGGGTATTAGCTGCATAGGATAAGTGACGTTATCTTCTCCACAAAACACATATAGTGGCGTCACCGATTCAATCTTTGTTCCTTTTTATTTTCCCCCGTAATCGCCAAGATGTCTCCGCTGTCCACGCCAAAGCCTTTCGATGGTCCGTATACAACGGTGCAATAACTCCCCCGTGTCACGAACAGTCATCGGCTTGTTTCCCCGAAAAATCCACATTCCTCGCGGCAGCCTCCCCTTTGTTCCCGATGTCGCCGTTTGTCCGCGGACTTTTGCCATTTTGTCACGCACTTTTGCATTCGCTTCGGCCTTCCCGTTTCGTCCACTGGTCATCTCATCATTAAAGGAGCAGAATGGGGCTCAAGTTATGCCCCGATGAGGAATGTGGTCAAACCCGACGACTATTGCAAGTTGAAAATAATTATACTGAATATCAAAGAAAATGAAAAGAAAGTCAATCCACAGACGGATAATGCATACATGTATAGAATGGTGGCTTTGTTTATGATATTCTGATTTTTTTTCAACACGAACGTTTCACAATTTTGATAGAACGAAATGTCACACTAATGTCTCATGAAATGGCCGTCTGCAAAAACACCCAAACTTGTCAAAATGTATCTGCAGCTCGTGTGGGCAAAAATGAAACTGATCAGTCGGTCGATCGGTCAAGGTTTCAATACCTCAATTTATTCACAACTTGGTTAACTCATTCTCATGGTGGTGTGTTCGGGGGTAAAGCGATGCGGGAGCGACGTCTTCCCCGTGTTTTCTGCGGTTTGGAAGCAAGGACCAGTCAGCCATTATACTACAAAACTCAACCATAGAACCTAGCCACATAATAAAGGCCTGCAATGGGCCACCCAAGAAGGTAGTGCACGGCGCCTGTGCAAGTCACCCTTATAGCTATGTACATGTACATGTACACGTACGTGTACTCTGCAAGCACTGATATACTATCATAGGTGGAGCATATGGGTGGAGTGAACAAACGTCTATGCATCAAAATACTTATATTTGCATGAAGTTTGGTATTCAAGGAATTCAAGCCTTACTTAAAAATACGAAGATACACATGATACATTTTTTTTTTTAGCACAATGAGAACTTTCGGCATTAGAAAAGTAAGGCCTGCACGATGTTCACATCGTTCATAGCGTGCAGGAGGATTAAGGAAATCCATGTTCATAGAGCCTTGCTCTTGGTATAAACCATAAACCAAACCTAGAATGTTGGGAAAAGGTTTGATGAAACTAACGCAAGGTTTTGATGTTTGTTTTTATTACATGTAGAGGGCAACGTCTCATAAGAACAACATCATTAGAAGTAACACCCTCCCTGGTCATTATTTACGATGTTTTTAACTTGTAGTCCAAACAGTTAGAACTGTTCACTGACCTACTCCGGTAAAGGTGACATATTCCGCGTGAAGAAGTAAACAATTTAGGTCTGAAATGCGCTGTTATAACTTTTAAAATTGCACAGAGAACTTGTTTCGGTATTTGTTTCTTTTCTTTTATTAATTCTACTGCATCCATTGGGCCCAAGTCCTGGCTATTAAATGTTGCTGCTATTCTTTGTAATATCAAACAAAAAAGTGAAATGAATTCGTTGAGGAAAAATCTTGCTGAAAGATAGCGATACGATGTGTGTATAGACACAATTTGATTTAGGATGCCTTTTAAGCATCCAGTTTTTTTCTCCAACTTTTCTGTTGTTCGGTGGCGGTACATGTTGGTATCTTTTCTTCATTGGAGAAAAATCTTACAAACTGAGCTGTTCTCTGAGACGAGAATTAAACTATTATTTGTTTTTGCGACATGAGTTGTGCTATGGAGGTATTCCTACCTCCATGGTTGTGCTGGCAAAGACTGTCAACTGATTGTGACCATTTTGAAGACGGTTTATCAAAGTCATCTAAGTCTTGATCTTGGTTTATTTCTTATTAGTCCCTGATGATGTCTTACATCATCCATCTGACTTCCTCCACTATCTCGGAATGCCAACCTCTTCAGTTCATCATGTAGTGTAGGCGCCTACTGCGAGCTGACTACCGCAGGACATTTTAATCCGTTGCCGAGTAAATGATGTTTATGTGGTGAGCGCTGAAAAGCCCCTGCCATGCCATGCCTGCTTTGCTCCCGCATGCAGAGTGCCTCAACTTGTGTGGTCTTGGGCCTTTCTTCTCCAGTTGCGAGGCAACTAATGACACGCTGTGTTGCAGGAACAAAACGAAGCGTCCTCGGCCCAATCAGATACCGGGAACCTGACCCAGTGTGGCGGCCATTTGACAGGGAGGGCGGGGCTTGGGGCGCTTGGAGGCCAACCGAAATCCCCACCATCGCGGTTATTCAGTTTCTTCAATGTGACGTGATCCTAGAACCCGTGTGGATGCATGTACGGTGCCTGTCGTAGTACTTGTAGTGTACATGTAATAGGAATTCCGTAAGAACGTGCATTGGTAGCATAGTATACGGTGTGAGGACCTTTTGAGTTTACCGCTCGCTTTCTAGACAAGACGAACCGAAAACCGGGATTTCTATATTGCGATTATGGATGATAAGAACAGTTGTTCGGAAATTCCACCGATCCTATGAATGGCCGACGATGGAGCGTTGGGCAGCCACTGCCACGCCGGATTCTCAGGTTAGCTGGTGGATTGTGAACGTCTCAAAACATCGTTGGATAGCTTCTTAAATACACCCATGTGCTGTGTGAGAGATGGGTATTCCGTCCTTTGGTACACCGTACCAAAGCGCGTGTTGTGTGTGGTACTGTGTGTGGGGGACACCGCGTTTGGGTCGCCGGTATTATGGCTGTGGCGGTAATGCTTTTGAGCATACATGGCATAGGTTGCGTGTTTGATACTACAATGAGTAGCACCAATTTTAACGGGAAAATTATTACCCTCTTTTTCAGGATGGAAGGCTGCCTACCCCAGAACCGCCAGGAGATTATGTTTACGAAGAACTGCTTACAAGAACAAGTTGGTGCAATGCAGAGTATGCCTACAAAGAAATAGAGCGGGTGAGTTGAATTGTCTTTAAAACTTGTTAGTCATGTGCGTGAGATTATGAATGGACGGCTAAGTTGATCCCATTATCATGGCGGGGAGGGGAAGGGGCATTGCGATTAAATCGTGCCGTTGAGATCTTTTCTGGGGGACTATTGATGGGGTGTAATGTACCATGCCCGGCACCGAACATGCCAAGCCGGTCTTGTTAATTCCACAAACTCATTGCATAAACATGTTGGCATGGTTGGTGCCTGGGGGATACCGCGATCTGAATGTTAACCGCAGTTATGCAATCCCTGATATGTAATGAATCAACTCTCGGATCAACGAGTATTATTGGTTGAAATTTAATTGTAGTTGATGGTGATACAATAATTGATATTGATTGTTCATAAAGGATACTTTCGAGGGAAAAAGTTAATCATGTTGATAAATGGTTCACAAACTCGTGGAAGTCTTTTCAATTATTTAATATTAACAAAGCGTTTACATGTTCAAAGTAGAAATTATGGGGTGCATACCTATGTTCCCCAATACCAATGTTCCACAAATATCGATGTTCCCCGAAATCCTTACCCTAAACCCTAACCCTAATCCTAAGGATTTTTGGGGAACATCTGTATTGGTGAACATAAGTAATATTGGGGAACATCGAGTAGACCCCGAAATTATGATAGTTTTATGACTGTGATAATAATATTTACCAGGATTTAATTTGTGGAGTTTAATCAAAATATTGTTTAAAAGAGCCAATTTCCCAGAGGCTCGGCGCTCGCCTTTGAGAAAAAGGTTCACATTAGGAATGACAACTTGGCACGGTGCAAAATGTAATTGTGCTTTTTGAAATATGGCACGCCTCCGGATAAAGTTGAAATCGAATACAATTTAGAAATGGATAAACCGTCTGTAATCGAATGTGCAGAAAAACGCGAGGACTGGTGTCGCATACATCAATGTGCAAAAGGGTCAAGCAGTATCATCACAATGCAAAAGGTTCTCACCGTCAATTCCAAGAGTGGAAAAAAGTTAAATGTGACAGCCAGAACCTAGATGGTGTGCAGTATGTCGACATGAAATTCAATTTATAAATCGGGACACTATTGATCCAAATTCGACCACGATAAGGCCTCGTGGAGGCTCCAGTTGTCGGAGGCCCAATGCCGACCCAACGACGACTCCTAACCCGTCTCGTCTCCCGTTCTTTCCGCCGCTGCTGCAGGGTCGTGCGCAAGGCAACAAGGCTGCGCTGTGGATACGGGCAAGACTCCAAGCTCTTCTCTTTTACCTCGGCTGCACCATTCAGCTGCACAGTGGAAAGGTACTTTTCCTGGGAATTATCATCATGGGTGCCTTTGCAGTCGGCCTCAAGCAGGCCAGAATCGAAACGAATGTGGAGAAACTCTGGGTGGAAGGTAAGTCTGAGAGCTACGGAAATGTGTGGTCGATGTTTTGTAAAATGCCTTAAATTGAACGTTCGTTTTTCCACGGTCCGCTTTGACGCATTTTTGGCAGCATTTACTTATATAAGCTGTGTATTAATGCGCCACGAAAAATGCAATAACAGTGGCACAAAAATGTGTGAAATCTCTGCAGTTGGAAACTAGTCTCAGGATAATTTATGTAAGCTAGTCACAAGCCAAGTAGCACAGCTGCTGTGGAATGCATTTTCACGACGCAAGTCGCCATGTTTTCTGGTTGACCCTGAGCCACGGCTCCCCCGGCCCCGTGTGTGGTCTGCACTAACCCAGGCGGAACTCTGGAAAGATTTTTTTCCCGTTGCGGGCCGAGTTACTTTGCCCCTGTGATATTATACAAATAACGAATGTTTGTGAGTGCGATGGTAAGAATAATTTCATGAGGTGACAGATTGAATGTTCTATTCCACGAGGCGAAGCCGAGTGGAATAGAACATTCAATCTGTCACCGAATGAAATTATTCTTTCCATCGCACGAACGTAAAACATTCGTTATTTGTTTTATACAACACCTGAATAAATTCTCGTCATTTGATTGGTAAATTATAAACTACAATTTATTTCGATTTTAAAGATGTTGAACTACCCCTTCACGAAAATGTTTGAACCCAACGCTGTAGCGCTGGCTCTTTGGAACAATACGCGCTACGCTGAACGCGCACACCAGCATGCATTTTGCACGCAAATACCGCGTCATGGAACAAGCGCAAAGTGAAACGGTATAACGCATGGGTATAACGCATGGTCGCACCGTGCATTATACCGAATAATAATATGTCACGTGATCTACAATTCACCAATCAGATGACGGGGATTTATTCAGGTGTTGTATAAAGCTTGTTAATTGTTATGGTTTTTCAAACGCTTGTATACAAAACTGTCTTAGTTTATTTATCTTTGGATAGTCGAAGTTGGGAGAGAATATAAAAGTCCAGTTCTTGTTATTTTTTTCCCCATTAGAAGAGGTTGGCCAGGCAGAGACCTTTTGTTTTGTATATGATAAGGGATTTCTTGATCATTCTGAAGATTGGTTAATTTTGTTTTCCAATGTATTTTGAACACTGAAGGAAAACAAAATGCTTAAATCAGATTTTTCTATCAAGTTCATGGGACCGGCACATCTTAACCCACCATTTAAAGAAAAAAAAAAAAACTTCCCCCAGCCGAGTTTGGCATTCCACTATTGGCATGGAATAACTGATTTAAATAGCTTGTGCAGAACGTCGACTCCAAATTTAATGCAGCGCCTCACATAAGCCAGCGGTGCTCAGCAGCAGCTCATAATAGGGTCATGTTCCGAGTCAAAACCCAGGAAACACTATTTAGGGAGGAATGCACATGTGCCTTAAATGCACTGTATCTCTACTTTTGTCTTGCGTTCTGTTCTTTTTTTTCTAAGCTTGATAAAAGCCAAAGTAAGGTAAATTAAATTGATTTATTGCTTGTTCTGAAATGTAGATGTACGTCAAACTTAAATACTTACACTTTTCATGAATCATATTTCAAAGTATTAACAAAAATTGATTTTACAATACATTTGTAATGATTTTGGTCCAGTTTAAAATAAGTTCTTAATTTTCACTGTAGGGTGCGTATTTTGATTTTTCTCCAACTTTATTAGTTAATCATAGTTCTCAGATTCTCATCCACGGCTATAAAAAGATTATTCTTTTGTGCCAGCCTTTGTTCTCATGTTTCCTAAAATGAGAAAGTACAGTCATGGTTTACTGCATGTAGGAGAACTTATTTTTCAAGTTGTAAACAACAAATGCTTACTTTAACAAGTGTTGTTTGTATTACAAATGGGCTTTCCTGCCCTGTGTGTTTAAACAAAATCCAGCATTCTTAACAGTTTTGTTGTGGACCCAACAGGCTATCTGTTTACCATATGTAATTGAATTGTCGTGCCTGTGAGGTAGGTAAAATGGATGAAGAATAAAATAACTTCGGGGAAATAAATAAACTCACATGCACAGAAAGACACGGCTCCGTGTTGACCCAGCTAAGAGGTGCAGGGACTTAAGGAAAACTTTGCGCACTTTTTTTTCTCACCAGCTGTAGGAGCGGTAACTTTGAAATGGAATTAGATAATGCCCCATTTGCATTCATTGGTTTGGATAGGTGCTCAAGTGGAGTGTTATAACAAATAGATACAGGGAAGAGGGTAAACTCATTACAGGTGTGAATGGGGCTTTCATGACCCGCTATGCACACACATGCTACCCAGGCATCAAGTGGACAAGCAAATACTTCTTTCGTCAGCAAACCAAGTACTACCTCTCTTTGTATGCTAAGCCACCTACAGTTGCCCGTGCAGGCGTGCCATTTTAGGAGCTGGAAAAAAAGCCCAAGGCAGGGTTGTTTGTAACAGGGCCATGCCGTATTCTGGCCACCATGAGCTTTGTCTTTAAGCCATAATTTCCTTTTTAGAACATGCCAGGCTAAAATATGTCGGCCAAGTTTAAACTATTTTGGAAGGGAGGGGGTACCTAAGTGTTGTTATTTGAAACTTTTTGTGTACATTGTAAGATGTCCTCTGAATAAGTCACATAGCCATTTAATGCATGTTCTGGTACAGGACGGTAAAATTAATAATTCATTATCAGAACTATACACCTTTATCGGATGTGATGTAGGCCTACATATACACATCTACAGAACTAAATTTCTGCTTCTACAGTTGTAACTTTCCAGACTTGATTTGGTTGAGGGTTGCAAGGAAGAATTGTGAGATGACACTTTAAAGTGTCTTCATGTTTGATATGAACCTGTGGATGCTTGTTTTTATTAGCAATTTATCTGCGTTCAGCTGTGTTCACGTTATTATTTATTTATGATTGGTGAAATTACGGGGAGTCAATTGAAAAAACAACAACTTGTTTGGCATTGTGGACTCACTGCGGTTTCCCGATAATTGCACTTCACATCATGTGTGAAAATAAGCGGTTCCGCCAACCTGACATTTTTTCACTCGGCAAATCATTTTTCCCTCTCCTGAGAGCCTCGCATGGGGTTGGCAAGTGATCGCCGGCTAAAGATTCAAGATCGGTAATCGGTTGGGACAAGCCTTGGAAACTCAGCCAGGCCCTGACTGTGAACTCATTAGGCAGAGCTGGATTGGATTTCAGAGGTGTGCCCCTTCTTCCCCTTGCCAAAACTTAATGAAAAACGGAAAAAGTGGGAGGAAAAACACGGGAGCCGGTATTTTTCAATTTGATGTTATAAAACCCCATTGCTTGACTAAAAAAGAATCTCAGTGCTCAAGGCATGAGTGTGTGCTAACTGTCATGCAGGCTGTTGTGAGATCTTTGGAAATGCTCTGAATGGGGAACTGGTTTTAACGGACCAGAAATGCCTCCTTTTCTCTGTCCTCCCTTTGAGTGTGTGTGATGAAGCAAAATGGGAGGCGTCTTGAGTAGTGTTGGGACTAAAAGAAGGGAGGGGCTTTGTTTTGGGGGCGTCACATAATTAGGGCATCATTAGTTGATGTGTGCATCAGAAATGGCAGCAAAGGCTAACCTGTGTGTTTGTTACCTGAATCATTCCCTTGGGCTAAGTGATCAGTGAAAAGGATGGTTTAGCTCATGCTAAAACATTTTGTATTCTTTTGTAAGCACGGTGGAGAAACTCGCAAATCAAAAAGGAACTCTTTTAAGTGAGAATTGTGAAAGCTGCTGAACTAGTGCGATTTCATAACTTGACTAAGAATGATTGAATTTTATGTGGTTTATAAACTTTTGCATACGTACATTCTACAATTTGATTACTTTTTAAAAGGCTTATAAAAGAAGAATCGATTGCCTTTAGTCCTTTTAATTCTTATTCTTCCTTGATGGGTATTTCACTCTTTCAAACAGTGTACACACTTTGTTTGCATTTTGTTGCAGTTATTTGTGAGCCTATTATGACATATTCATTTGAACACCTGCCCAATGGGTGTGTGTTTGAACAGGATCTATTTGAGCTGTCAGAAGAAGCATTACATTGCTTTAGCATGATGTTCCTCTGAACCACTTGTCCTGTCAAAATTCTTGAGGTGATTTGGAAAAAGCTCTAAAAGTGTTCCAAGAAGAAGAAAGCTGGAACTGATCCACAGACATCTTTATCTCTTTCATGAGTGAATCCGGATGAAAAAATGTAGCTGCGTCAGTGAAGTCCCTGGCCTGCAGAGTGAAATTGTTGTGCAAATTGCCGACTGAAAGCAGACGATTAAAGTCCAGTCTTTTCTGGCGGTGCTAAGTAAATACGATGGTTTTGTTGATGGCTCCATCTTTAAGTTATTTCTCTCTGTTTTCAAGAAGAATGACACAGTTGTATGCAGCGTTTATCGGCTCTGTTGTTCCATCACTCTGCTAATGCGGTTGCTCCGAGATGTTTTTCCGACATCTTACACAAACACAGACTATCAGTTTCGGCTTTTGATGTGGGGGCAACGGACTCCTGCGTGACACCCAGAGAACAGAGCCCCGTACCATTCTAATTCACCCCTTGAGCCCTTGCAATTAAAACCTCCATTCTGTATGATCTTTCCTTTTTGTCTGCCTTGCCTTGCCTCCCACTTTTTTTTTCCTCACAATTTACCAACAAAAAAAGGATTAGCCAATTGCTTTCACTGCACCAAGGAAAGGAATGTGTTTTACTCTCTTTTCACCCGCCTCTTTTTTTCCCTGTCTCATCCATTAAACAAAAATATTTTGTACCAGCGTTGGAACGTAAAGGCATCAAACTGAGACTGAGAGGTGTTCTGTGCAGCGATCATACATCTTTTGTCAGAATTTCCCTGAATTGGTATTTTGGGAGGTTTCTTTTAAGTGAAGATTGGGGATACCCTTTCATGAATGTGTGACATACGCATATTTTTGACACTAATTTACTCAATCAATAGAGGAAAATAATCTGTTTTATCAATGATTCTCTTAAATAAGCCGAAGTGAGAG